TGGAACAGTCGCCCATGAATTCATCGTTGATTTGAGGGGCTTCAAGGTAGCTTTTACCATCATTCACCTTAAATACCCTTATGTTTGGTTCATTGGAATGATCATTCATCTTTGTGTCCATTCTCATGTTTGGTTCACTAAAAAAGTTTAGAAAAGTGCATGCAAATGGAATCATCCTTCATCATTGCAAGGGAATGGTCATTCCATAAGGATTTCATTCCAATCCCCTTTTATTCCAGTGAACCAAACACTACCTTATTTTTTATTCATGTGATTGATTCCAAGCCACTGTCCTCGTAGAATACTGCCGGAATAGAGGCTGAAGATGTTGCTAAACGTCTTATGGACTATGGATTTCATGGACCAACAATGTCATGGCCCGTTCCAGGCACACTGATGATTGAACCTACTGAAAGTGAGAGCAAGGTAAGCTCTAGAAAGGAGAAATTTCTCTTGCCCTGTCCTTTTTCCAGTTTCTCGAGTTCTGAAAGCGCTTTGTTTTGTCATACAGGCAGAGATGGACAGGTTTTGTGATTCTCTAATTTCCATCAGAGAAGAAATTGCACATATTGAGAAAGGAAAAGCTGATATTAACAACAATGTCCTCAAGGTAAATGGGGTTGTTTCTATGACTTTTTGATAACTATGAAATTTGACAATTGTGTTCTCTCAAAATTTTTTATGTCTTATGTTATGCATCTCTATGCTTGCAACTATGTTTTGAATTCACATAAATAAAAAAATAAAAATCAGAAAATTAACTAAAACGTGTAAGTGCAGGGAGCTCCTCATCCACCATCACTGCTGATGGCAGATACATGGTCAAAACCATACTCTCGGGAATATGCTGCCTTCCCTGCTTCTTGGCTCCGCTCAGCCAAGTTCTGGCCTACCACAGGTGTGTATCTCTCCAGATCTGGTCACCCATTTTCTTCCGAAAGTAACCTACTGTCAGGTTCTCTTTTAGTATTTTTGTCTTATCATCTCTTGCTTTGCATCTTCTGCATGCCTGTATGAAGATGTAAAATGAGGAATTCCTCTGTACATATTTTAAGACTGTTTGGATTTAGGATTTGAATATAGACTTGTGGTGGAAAAAAATGAAGTAGGGAAATATGAATGAAATATAAGCTAAATTTGTTTTCCATTTTCTCACATTTTTCTTTTTCTTTTCAAATCCCTACCCAAATCTATAATCCAAACACAGTTTCAAGAGAAAAAAAGAAACAGTTGAATCCAGTAATTCAAACAGCATTTGTGAAGATTGTAAAATCACAAACTATTTGTGAACAACAAATTCTCATTTTATTCTAATATGTGTTACTTTACCCACTCGAGTTAATTCATTTTCTGACATTGTTTTAAAATAGTTCACTCAATTTATTTCTTGATTGTTGTGTTTTGAATGCTGCCTCATGTGTTTGTATCTGAACTTTGTGATGATGTGGCTGTGACAATCAGGACGTGTCGACAATGTGTATGGCGATCGCAACCTCATCTGCACCCTTCTCCCCACATCCCAGGTTGCTGAAGAACAAGCCGCTGCTACTGCTTAAGCTTCGCTGTCACAACATGCAGAACATGAGGTTCCTTTATGGTCACGAGAAACTTTTTATTTTTCAGCCTCTTGTATATATATGTATAAAAAAAACAAAAAAAAAAACATCCATATTGATATGCTTCTTTATGATAGCTGACTTTCATCGTACGAAATTTTGATGATCAGCTGTTTCAATAACAATTGTTGCTAATTGCATCTCAAATGTTGTAATTATCAATGATTTTTCCTTTTTAGCTGTATTTGATTTTTAATAGCCGTCATAATCCTTGTCAAAGGAAGATGTTACATTCAGTTATTTTTCTAATCAAAATTCAAGTTATATGAAGGAAAAGAGTGCTCTATTGGATCTTTGGAAATTTCTGTGATGTAGGTTTTTTAACTTTTTACATATGCTGCGCCTACCCGGGCCCCTAGGGAGCTGAGATAGGGTCGGATCTCAAACCTAGTCCGGGCTCAGACGGGTTTTTGTTGAGCCCTTGAGGCATGCTATATCTTTTTGAATTTTAAATTTTTTAAAATTTTAAAATTTGAATGAGATCGAGTTAGCTAAGGCTCGGCCACAAAAACAGGTGGCACGATAAGATTGGGCCGGGCTTCAAACCCTTCAGCCCAAGGCCTACCGGAGATGGCTGGCCCAATCCGAGATTTCTTCTCCTCTCCCTGACCAAAAACAGAGAGAAAAAAAATCAAATAGAAAATAAGAGTTGGTATGACACATGGTTGGCCAATTTTGATTGAGTCCATGGATGTAAATTTTTAATGTTAATTGAGATTTTCAGACCGTATATAATGTATGTGATAGACATTGACCTAGTAATTTTATATTTTGTAAAAAAGTATGCAAGACCAATAGGTATAAGATGACTTATTAGATAGTCTAGATAATTAAACTTGTTATAAGGGATGAGTTTGTTCATAGATCGAGTCAATTTGAATTTGTTGTTAGATCGTCACTCAACCTTATCATTGTTACTACTTGACTAATTTTTTGTTAAATTAATCAATTTGACCGAGTCATCCTAATTTTTTTAATAACCCTAATATTGAGGAGAAGATCTCCACTACTAACATTTGAAAGCAAAGCTTAAAAGTATACACATGAATGATGTTATTGAAAAGACAAGTTGCACTTATGCTATGTTTGTTCCTACTTGATTACACAATATAAATTCATGTTTTCTATTTCAAGGGTGGGTAATTGGTCTTTTTCGTATAGACTTAAAAAATATAGAAGTAATAATAAAAAAAAGACTTTGCTTGGAAACTTGACCTATGTAAGGCTAATTGAAGCAATTAAAACCTAATGCAGAAAAGTAAATACATAGTTTGAAGTGTTTAATTTCTAGGGCAACAAAGTGAAACCTAATTTATAAAGTAGAAAAATGACCTAGTAGTTTAATTTCTACACAATCAAATTCACCAGCAACCAACTACCTATTAAAAAGTTTTTTCATAAATTACCAATAATGTTATTGGCTAAATTTGAATTGTTTAGTTGTCCATACCAACAAAGAAAAAACTATAAATTTGCCGTTTTAGTGACAATCACTTATTACGCAACTAATTCGTTTGAGATGTGATTTTTTAGCTTTTTGACCTTTTGGTTATTTTAGCCTGGAGTTAAAAAGTCTCGTTTGGGATAGACTTTTTGACATTTTTTACTTTTGTGAAAGAAAAAATAAAATGATTATGGATTAAATATGATGTTTTGTCTTAGTAGGTTAAAACGTCTATTTTGTCTTTTTTGTGGCTTTTTTATGCCAAACGAGCTCTAAATTATCAAGATTAATGTGACCAGTGACTAGGATTGTTTTGAGAAGATGGCAAAAAGTTACTTTTTTGACTTTTTAAAAAAAAAAAGTGTAAAAATTGTGAAAGATGATATGATCCAAAATGGATTAAAAGTTGAAAGATGACTTTTAACTCCCAAAATTGCCCTAAACTTAAATTTTTAGTAATCAATGCTAAAAAAACATAAAAGAAGTAATCATAAAGTTACACACTTTCTTTGACTAGTGTGAAACTTTGTTAAGTATTTTTGTACGAATTTTCACTTGTTTAAAAAGAAAATTTAAGTGAATTAATGATTGAAATCGGCTAAAAGAATGTTTAAATTCAATATAAATAAATTTATATGTAAATAGTCATTTGTCGAAATAGTTGTGCATTAAAGAGTGACAATCTAATTAACAACTAATTGAATTTTGAACCATTTAATTAGAGATATCAATACAAATATACGTATGATATGCTCATTTGATGACTAGACATCTATCTAACAATCAATCGAATTTTGAGCCATTTGATTAGAGATATCAACACAAACATATGTGTGATATACTCATTTGATGATTAGATATCTATCTAAAGTTTTAGATTAGTCATTTTAAATATGTGGCAAGTCTAATTATTTCTCTCCTAATATCCTTTTTTCTTGTTCACAAGAAAATTTAATTAATTATTGAGGTTGACTAAATTTATGTGTGTTTAAATTTGATACATACAATTTTGCAAGCAATTAGCCACCATTTGAAAGAGTTACATTAATAAGTTATCAATTTTCAACCACATGATTAGAGATATCCAAAATAAATAAATAAATACAGTAGACATGATAAGTTGGTCTCATGATCATTATTAGTTGTAGTAAAATTTCAAGAATTTTTTTTAGACATAGTAAAATTACTCATATGGTTTTTATAAAATATTTAGAGATTATGATGTTTCATTTTTTAAAATATGTCACAAATTATAAGTATTTTTATTATTAAAAAAATTCTAGGTATCAAAAAAAGGGGAAAAATTTACACTAATCTTTATAGTATCTCATAAATTTTTTGGAAACAAAAAAATAGATGCCATATAAGTTTTTTGTTTACACTTTTTAAAGCTTTTTTATAAACAAAATTATAAACATAAACATTATCAAACAAATTTATAGTGTCAAGACACATGACATGATTGATTAATTAGAGGAATGAGTTTCAAGAAAAATAAAATTAATATTTATTAATCATGCTATTCTTGTCACATCCAAATTAACACATTTATGAAAAAGCCAAATTTAATATCAAAATACTTGACACAATTAATTAGATTATATTAAATTAGTATTAAAACACTTTTATATATATAACACACTCAAAATGTTGAGTACAAACATTTCCATGGTGATCAATGGATTAAGATTAAAATAAATAAATTCAGCACACCGATTTCTATGGTTCTAATAACTTGATTAAATTATTAAAAAATGAGATAAATAAAAGTAAATAAAGAAAATTTGATTTCTTTTATATTTCACATTTTAGAGAGATTGGGAGATTAAAAAAAAAAAAATTTGAGATAATTAGTAATTTTATATAATACTAAAGTAGTCCATCTAAATACTAAACAAAATGTTATTTTACGAATATAATTCGCAAGAATTTATTTTATTTCCTTTTATACAATCTATCCAAATACAGTTAAACATAAATAACTATTATGTTCTTCCTTTTATATAATCTATCTAAATACAGTTAAACATAAATAACTATTATGTTCTTTTATCTCAAACTTAACCAAACAAAAAAAGAAAAAGAAAAAGAAATTGAAATTGCAAGATGATGCACCCCAACCCACACTAGCCCAACACATTTCACGTTGACTCACACTATAAAACAAGGGTAAGATTTCTCTCAATTGTTAGATTTCTCTCAAATTGAGGGACTCGTGGAATTTACTGTGGTCCTATTTTAATAATTTAAATTATTTATTTTATAAAAAAATTTTATATATTATTTATGAAAAAAATTAAATTTGATTCGATAACCGTAAAGTGATGGGTTTGAAATCACAAAAATTGATTTTAAAATGAGCTTATTAAATTCAAACGCTTTTTCAAATTAAGATAGGCCAAGTTTGACAAGTTATCAAAAAATTAAAAAGTCAAAAAGTTACTCAAAAAATTACAAAGTTATCACTATTCACTAAAAATCAAAAATTACGGCTGCACAACTCTCAATTCTAATTTTTCCCTATACACTAATTCATATAATTTTTTAATACACATTTTTCCATAAAAATTTAAAAAATTAACCAAACATCTATATTTTTTCTCTCAACTTTTTAGTCTAAAAAGATAAAAAAAATACACTTATTTAAGACACCCCAAACAACCCTTATATAAGCTATCCAAAAAAATGATGTGCGCTAATAGCGGCACTAAAAAAAAAAAAAAAAAGTGGGAAAATATATAAAATCCTCGCAAAACCCAGTTATTCTCAAAACCTCTCTCTCTAAAAATGGAGAAAGGGGGAAGAACAGTTGCAAGAATTTATCTGCTATGTCTCTTGAACAGTTCGTCTCCACCATGGCCCCTCTACTCGATCTCGAAAGGTCCTCTCTTTCTCTCTCAACTAAAATAATCAATAAAAATAAAATAAGTTAAAATAGTTAATATGACAATATCATATTTAAATTATAATCATATCACCATTTTTTTTTCCACAACTATCAAATCAAACAAAAAAGATCCAACCAACTTCCTGAACATAAATTATTATTTTTTTGCTGGAAAAAAATAACTAAAAAAATTAATTATAATAGCCAATTTCTCAAAAACAAGCTCTTTATAAATCCGTTACAAATACACTTCTTGAGATTTATTTAAAGTACAAGTTGTCCCCTATGATTTGAAAAATTACAAATACCCCTTGTTAGAGATTTTTATTTAACAGAATTAACTAAAAAAAATGAAATTCACAATTAATCTCTTATACATTAATAAAATTACTTAAATTATTAATTGAAACATATTTTTAAGGAAAACTTAGTGAAAACCCCTCTATTAAACCCTTATTTGGTGAAAAGAACAACCCAATTTATTTTTCTTCATAAACTCCCTAAACAAAAAACACATAATTGAGTAAGGACAAAGTAAAATATATTCTTCTTTTTTTTTCTTTCTTGAACAATATTGTCAGAGTAACATATTACTGTGTGACAGAGTAATATGTTATTGTCAAATAGAGTAATTTTCAAACAGAATAACATGTTATTGTTACTGTTTATATCAATTTCAACTGTAATAATTTTTTATTTTTTAAAAAATTTAATAGTCAACATGAATATTATTTGATAGATCTTGATGAAAGAATTCTAAAAATATTAATTTTATTAAAAACTGACATCTAATATTTTTTTAAAGTTTAGTATTTTGATAATAGTGATATTTGTTAGACCTTTTAAGGAAAATTTTGCCCGTATATCCTTAGGCCTAGTTTGGGAAGATTGAAAAAAGACAAAAAGTCAAAAAGTCACTATCCTATTTAAGTCACATCATCTTATTTAAATCACATCACCTCTCTAATACATCACTTCAAACCCAACCCATATTTCATAAAAAGTCAAAAAGTGCACTTATTTAGTCTTCCCAAACTAGGCCTTAATACGTTAAAATTTTATTATGATGAAATTTTGATCAAATCTCTTTATTTCTAATATTATTAAAAATTATTAATTAATTCGATAATTTATTAATAAAAAATTAATCCATTATAAAATTAAAAATCTCATTAAGGTTAAGTTTGGCAACTTTAAAATAATTCATTTTTTTATTTTTTTATCTTTTTTTCATCACATCACCTCTCTACTTTTCTGTACATCTTTTCGTAAAAAAATAAAAAGTACACTTATTTAGGTCATTCCAAACAAGCCCTAAGTGAATTATAATTTTTAAAATCACCAAAAACAATTCATATTCTAATCAAAGTTTAAAGGATGTTTTTGTAATTCATCCTAGAAAAATGCTTGGGAGCACTAATTAGTGCTCCCACTAATTAGGTGGCAGTGGGTCCCGTCATGAATGATGTGATGTTTTGGTCTTGGAGTTGTAATTTTTTTTTATTTTTTTTATTTTTTTAATGCATTAGTGCTATTAGTGGTGATGTTTTTAGTGGGATGAATCATTGTTGTTCATCCTAAACAAAAGTAGTGAGGTTAAGTTTGGCATGATTGAAAAAAGACAAAAATTTAAAAAGTCACTATCCTATTTAAATCACATCATCTTATTTAAGTCACATCACCTCTCTAACACATCACTTCAAACTCAACCTAAACCCAACCCATATTTCATAAAAAGTCAAAAAGTACACTTATTTAATCTTTTCAATCCAGGCGTTTTTGAAATTTATGGAAATCCATGGGTGGCAGCTTGACGAAGAAGGTGCCCAGATTAATAAATGAGAATCTCTACAATCTCCTTTCTGTGAAAGTAGGGGGTAGGTTCTTAAGCCCCCAGTAGAGAGAGAAAAAACACACATATAGACAGACAGATTGAGAACCCTAGAGAGAAAAAGCTAGCTAGAGAGAGAGGGAATTGTCTCCTTCTATGCGTGTGTTCTCGTCGATGCAACTCGATTAGCGATGTCCAAGATGAAGCATCTTTTCCGAAGACTCCACATAGGCAGTGGCTTCAACGACCACCACCACCACCACCACCACAGAAGACACCCTTCTCCGCCGCCCACGGCGCCGCCTCCCGCGCCGTCATTGGCGGATTCTTCTTCTTCTTCATCGTCGTCGGCGGCATTGGTGACGACCAGAGCTGTTGATTCGGTTGAGAAGTCCGTTGATGTTAGCTTCTTTGAAGAGGATTTCCAGGTGCAACTTGCCCTAGCGATGAGTGTTTCGGATCCCGATGCACGCGAAGACCCTGAAACAGCTCAGATCAAGGCCGCCAAGCAGATAAGCTTGGGCTGTGCTCCTTCTGAAACCCTCGTTGAGTTTCTCTCTCTTCGCTATTGGGTATGTTTTAATCCTGTTTTCTATTCATGCTTTCGTTGTATTTATTGACAAATTTGATCGAATTGGTGTAATTGTCATACTCAAGATCTCAATTTTGTTGTTTATGGATATAAATGAGGCTCATTTCAATTTTAATTAGATGATGTATATATGTTTATCATGTAGTTTTATGTGAATCATGGAAATTATGTTTGTATTTGTGCCTATGTGTTGATTTTGGCTTTGAAAGTTACTATCAAATTTTGGGAATTGTGTTGATTAATTAGTTGTACCTAGTGTTTATCATGTAGTTTTTATGTGGATTTGACTAAATGAGGAAAATCCTATCATTGGCATTTGCAGAGTTATAATTTTGTGAATTATGATGAGAAAGTGACCGATGGGTTTTACGATGTATATGGCATTACTTCAAATTCAGGCGTGCAAGGGAAGATCCCACTGCTGCTAGATCTCCAAGCAATTTCTGTTTCAGATAATGTCGATTATCAAGTTATTCTAGTGAACCGTGCCATTGATTCTGCCCTGCACCAGCTCGAGGAAAGAGTATATGCTGTTTCTCTGGACTACCAGCTTGTGTCACCGTCTCCATTTATGAATGGCATAATCCAGAAAATTGCTGATCTTGTCGTTGATAGGATGGGCGGTCCAGTTAGTGATGCAGATGAAATGTTGAAAAGATGGACTGTCAGGAGTTATGAATTGCATAATTCTCTGAACAGTGTCATTCTTCCCCTTGGCTGTCTCAATATTGGACTTTCACGCCACCGAGCCTTGCTCTTTAAGGTTGTAAAGCTTTGGCCTTCTAAATTAATACATGAATATTTGTGCTTTATCTCCCTGAGATATGCATTTTATTTCTTCTATAACACAGATGCTATGTGAATTCAATTTGTTCTTTTGCAATTCTGTTTCTGAATTGTGGCTAGAGGAACAACGCCGGTGAATGGTGATTTTATGAGAATGCAGTAGTTACCTTGTTCCCATCTTTCTAGACTTACATTGGCAATGTCACTTGCATAGTAAGAGACATGGTTTCTTTTTTGTTTTTTTTGTTTAAGCTAGATAAGAGACAAAAGGTTGTGGAAATGCATCTAACTTGACTATATCCAAGGATCTAAAGTGTGCTTAAATTTAGATATGCATGTAAGTCTGCATTTTTTGTATCAGTTGTAAATTTTTCCTTCAAATTTGCTTTATTCTAATTTATAATTGTGATATGAAGAAAAGAATGAAGAAGAGCCTTCTGTATTTTATTTTATTTTTTTGTATAAAATTTATTTACCATCCTAATAATCTAACACTGTTTAGTAGCAAAGTTATTCTGTTGCATGTGAAATATTTAACCCTGTTTTTTGTTTTTTGTTTTTGGTGGAAGGAATAGACAAGAAGTGAATTTTTTAAAATTTTCTTTCCTTTCACTTTCCCTTGTTTGATTCTTAAAATGAGTAGAAAAGAAGAAGAGAGGGAAAAAAAAAAAAAGGAAAAAAAGTCGGGTTGAAAATTTTCTTTCCCTCATATTCAATTTTTCTTATCTCCTTATTATATTCTCTTTCCTTCTCTTTCCTTTTCTCTAAATGATGTTGAATGTTGAAAGTGATGCCTTGGAATCTAAAACATATGCTACATCAGGCAAATAGGAATGTATAGCCGTTTGTTACAAATTTGCAGTCAAATTGTTCCACGAATATGTTAGGAAATCATCTCTTCTTAACTAGAATCGGTGAGACACAAAATAGAAAACAAGAAAACTAAAACAAATCGAAGAAATCACACACAAAAAAACACAAAGATTTATATGATTCACCCTAGAATAGGTCTACGTCCATGGCTGCTACAATTTTCATTATGTTGAATCTGATAAAACTCTCTACAAGTATAGAATTAGGGTGACACAGAAGTAACCTGGATCTCCCATCCCTTGGGGGGAGGCTCCCCAAACCCTTATTGGACGTAGGGCTTAGTATACAGTACTTATTAGGGGTCCACAAGATCCAATGCGATATGCCAATAAATAGTATATATGAAGTCCTTTTCATTCGAATCATCACCACATTATGACAAACAAATAGTATCGTGTTGGTCATGTTAGTCCGCTGTCATATTGGGTTTGTGCCAGAATTCTCTCAACATTAAACTAATTTGTTTAACTAATCATTTGAAGTATCCTAACCCCCCAACTGTTTATAAACGTGTCAACCTAATTATGCTTGACACTATTAATAATAAATACTTATTTTCATCTACATCTACAATGACAATATTCATGAAAATGACTCAAAATCCATAAGTAATCTGCAAAAATATAAGTTGAAAAAACCACACATAACTTGACTAACAAAAAAAAGGTAAAATCATATCCAAATTAAAAAAACCACTGTCACATAAAACAAGTCATAACTGACTCCAAGAACTACTACACTAGCACCTTCAATTGGTTTAGCTGTGTCAAATTTGAGTTGTGTTGGTTTGACACTAACTGACCTTCTTATTTTTTTGTGTTTTTGTGTTTTTGTGTCAAGTTGCTTTCAAGTTTGTGTTGATAAATAGTCAACCCTAACCTTCCAACTTGGTGTCTGTTTCATGTCATGTTAAAAATTCTCACCCCTACAATTTCAGAAGTTTCATGCTTTTATTAGAATGTTAACTTTTGTCATTGTTCAATCCAAGAAAGTCATATTTTGAAAATTTATTTGGGACTTCTAGTTTTGAGACATCTAAAATTGAGCAAATGTTTGCTACCTTTTTCTCTTTTAACTAATTTTTTATTTATTTTTTATCACTTAAGTGGTACTGGTATACTATATTATTTTTGTATCAGGTCAAATTTTATGTCCCTCTTCTCCATGTCTCCATCTGCTGGGGCTTCCAACATGCTCTTTGCACAGTTTTGCTCTTTGAATTGCAATCGTAATTGACATCAGCACCGTAAACCTTAAAGTTGCCAGAGTTTGTCTAAGTTAAACAGGCTCCAATATTCCTCCCTCGCCTCTTTCTTATGTTTGAAGTTCTACTATTCATGTTCTGAAATAGTCAAGCAGTAGAAAACTGGCAAGCCACAAACAATACATTAGTCTGATAATGTAATTTACAAGTCATTTGTTTTTCCATTAATTTCACTCGTGTTTTTCTGCAAGTCTCATTTCTTATAGGTTGCTTTGGACAAGCACAAAATGTGGCTTCAAAGTTCTTATTCTGTAACATCAGTGTGTTAGGAATTTAAGTGGGGATAGTGTAATATATGGAAGGATGTAGGTGGTACTAATGTCCCAGTATCATGATTTACACTTTACACTTCATTCGACTTGAATGAATTCCTTTTCTATAAAAATAAAGTATTGCTAGATTCAACATTTTGGTGCCTTTTGACTTCTAGTTATTGAAGTTTAAAGTTTAAAATGTTTCTCAATTCGATAAATTCATATTTTCATTGTGTTAATACACTTCATTTTTTTCTTTTTTCTGATCAATATGTTCATTTGTTTATACTTTTCCATATAATATTATCAAGATTCAAAAATTATAGAATGGCTAAATCTCAAAAAATGTTATTTGTTGTTGAAGAATTGCATAATTTCCACTTTTCCTAGTGGTGAAATGAAACCTGTCGTTTTACCTCATATCTTAGGATAATTTTTCCCTTATATTTACATATTATGTTCTCCCAAGAAATCTTGGATGAAGCATGTGAACATCTCATACTTTGGGTGCTAGGTACTTGCTGATCGGATTGACCTTCCTTGTATGCTGGTTAAAGGGAGCTACTATACTGGCACAGATGAAGGAGCTGTGAACCTGATCAAATTTGATAATGGAAGGTAATGACTTCCAACTCTTATCTATTTAAGAATGCTGATACAAACTCTTATGAAAATTGGATATGCAGGTTCAATTTTGTGATATGGGTAATTTGATTGGAAGTTACCTCATTTATGCATTTCAATTATTTAATTCATAATAGATAAAAGGGGAAATAGTTCTTATTGATGCATTCAGTTTCCCATCTTGTTTTGTCTTGTCTTGATATTTTGGGATTAGGAAATGACTATTACCATCAGATACTCTGCCAGTATTTGGAAAATCATATACACGCACAAATTTTCTCTACAAGTTGTAGGATTCAGCATTAGCTGCCGCTAACAAGTTCATTATTTTCAAATGATAGTCACTCACAGATTTGCAAATAATAAAGATTTATTCTGTGAGCTGTGAAAGCTCTTCCATAGCATGAATTATATTTGAATTGCGAATCTAAAGTCATTATAGCCTTATTTGCAGCTGCTACACTATATATATGATATTTTTCAAACAGATTTACAAATGACAACAATTTCCTCTGTGGGACTGTTATAATTCTTTCAGAGCAGCGTGTATGCAGTCAAGTCATTTATTGTCAGATATATGTTGTTCTTTAGTAGCTGGCTGTGAAAGCTCTTCCATAGCATGACTTATACTTGAATTGCGAATCTAAAGTCATTATAACCTTATTTGCAGCTGCTACACTATATATATGATATTTTTCAAACAGATTTACAAATGACAACAATTTCCTCTGTGGGACTGTTATAATTCTTTCAGAACAGCGTGTATGCAGTCAAGTCATTTATTGTCAGATATATGTTGTTCTTTAGTAGCTGGATTTTTATTTAGAAATGGAGTTGATCTTCAAGGTGAATGCTGTGTGTTTTTTGCTCTTTCATCTTTCATCTTTCCTTCAATTTGTTTTCAGTGTCTTACAGAAAGAATTGTTATGGCTTTAAATGTTTTGAACAGAACACTTAGTAATGATATGGCTGATTATTGATTTGATGCAGTGAATACATTATTGATCTAATGGGTGCTCCGGGCACGCTAGTTCCCAGTGATCATCTTCAAAATTCTGGGTTAGCTATGAGGAGCAGTGCAGATTATGCTGAAACTGTCAACAATTTCTGTCCGATGCTTGAAGAAGGAACTGGGACGGCGGCAGTTTCACCTGATCTTGGTGGACTAGTCAAAGGTGGCAGTTCAGATTCAGTAGAAGCATCTACTTTAGGCATTCAGCCAAAACGTGGTGAAGGGAATCTTAATGAAGAAAATCAAACCCAGATGTTTGAGAATGAGTTTGGGAAGCTTCTTCCTGCACTATGTAGATCACGTGCAGAATTGTCGGGCACTAGTGGGAAGGGGTCACAAGCACAAAAGATGAAAGTTAAAGATGTTTCCAAGTACATCATCAGTGCAGCAAAAAACCCAGAATTTGCTCAGAAACTTCATGCAGTTTTGTTGGAGAGTGGTGCATCACAACCTCCAGATTTTCTTCTGGATATGAATCCTCATGATCTCAGAGAAGTGGAAATGCATGAAAAAATACGTCTGTTAAATGGGGAAAAAGTGGGTGATGGGGCTCAAGATTATCCAGATATGTTCTTGTCAAACAATAAACTGTTGATTATACCCTCAACTGGAGTGGAGTCCTTTAATGGTGCTCATTATGACAGCAAACAAAAGCACTCTGTTGAGGATTTGACGGCAGAACGACTGGAGTTGGGTTCTACAGTCATTAATACGACACATCCATTACTTTCTGATGTTACAAGTGAAGGATCTATTTTGCTTGTTAATTGTGGAACTCACGCAATTAACCATACTGATGATGATGCTTCTGTGCCTTCTGCAACCGGCAATTACGAAGGACAACCTAAAAGGGCCCTCATTTGTGATGGCGGATGGTTTGTTAAAGATAAAGTAAGAAATGTACTTGATAATGTTGACTCTGTGAGATTGATGGAAATGGCCAATAGTAGCCTGCCTAGTGCTTGCAGTATTCAGAATGAGAAGATTAACCCAGTGCTTGGTGAAGTTGCGGAGTGGGAAATTCCATGGGAGGATCTTCAAATTGGAGAACGCATTGGCATTGGTAAGAATTGATGTTACATAAGTTTGTGCACTCATCCAAGAACTAAAATCTGTTCCCAACTTAAACACTTGGCTTGTTAGTATATGATTAAGAAAGGGCTCTTATTGTCTTGTGCTTCTCACCTTTTTATACTACTTTGATATTTATTTTACTGTAGGTTTACGTTATGCTGGATCTTGAGTTTTACCTGTGGATTGTGTTTTCCCAGCTTTATAGTGAATGGGTTTAGAATCTTTAACATGGGAACAAGATTTTATAACATCTTATTGGTTTGATTGTATAATTGGACACCACTGTTAGAAAGGGTAGGTTGGCCCAATGGATTTGCACACCTCTGTTGCCTCTAAATTTTCTGAATTACACAAATGCTTTTTATCCACTGTATGCCCAAATATTTTTTGTGCTGTAGTCTGAGTTGGGGAATCCTTGCAGTACATGTTTCAAGTTTTTGTTATGTGTATTGTTTAAAGTTCCTGGATTTCATAACACCACATTCCATATTAGCCGACATTTATTTTCCAAAGAAAAGTACACATGTAATATTCAAACTCCTATGGTTTACTGTGTGTGTTTGGTGGGGGGGGTTGTAGCCAAATTGATAAATGGGGGTATTGTCTTTAATTTTTATTGGCATTGCTGCATTGGCTCAATTCAGGCATCCATATTGAATTCGAGTTTATCCTACTGGTCACTTGTATCCTCCGGACATAGATTTCAATCATTATTCATGTTGGAAGTTAACTACGATGGAACTGATCTTTTGGATGCAGTTAGACTTAGATCTATGTATTGGTTTCTTTTTATTTTCCAGAATATAAGAGAATCTATGCATTGGGAGAGTTTGATATTTGCTTGAATATTGAATTGCTGCAATTTCCTACCTTGCAGGTTCATATGGTGAGGTTTATCGTGCAGATTGGAATGGCACTGTAAGTTATATTTTAGATGCATTAGTGAATTTGATCGAACTTTTGTCAATAGTTGCTTACAGAAATTATAGTTTACGACTCTCTTAACGGTTTATCGGGTGTAAAATGTGATTCCATGACAGGAAGTTGCTGTGAAGAAGTTCATGGACCAAGATATATCAGGCGATGCACTTGTTCAATTCAAATGCGAAGTACCAAATCTGACATCTTGCATCATGTGCTGTTATTAACAACAATGATTTAGACCACTAAAAAATGCATCACTAATAGCACTAATACATTGGAAATGACAAAAAAAAATAATAAAAAAATAAAAACAAGGCATAGAAAGTGGGTGGAGCCTACTGCCACATCATTAGTGCTCCTTTTAGTGATCCCCTTTTAGTGCTCCCAAGCATTTTTCTGTTATTAATGATCCAAGTGGTTTTCTTTTTAAGAATTGAACTGGACGACTGCTTGTTTGCTTTGTGCAGGTTGAAATCATGTTGAGGTTGAGACATCCTAATGTTGTTCTTTTCATGGGAGCAGTCACTCATCCACCAAATCTTTCTATACTGACAGAGTATCTTCCAAGGTTGATGTTTACTTTAAAGTCTTGTTAGAACTTATTGTTTCAAGAATTGATGCTTTTGTTCCGTTTTCATCAAATGTTTGCCTTCATATTTTTAATGGTAACATAGTTTCAGACTATCATTCTTACGTAATAATAAGAAATGACAACTGGGTATAAATATTGCCAAGCTTTTATGTCTAAAGAAGAAAATAATTTATTTTAATTTAAGTTTTTTGGGTTGATTTTTAGAAGAAGATAATTCACCTGAAAATTTTCAGTTGTTAATTTTATCATTGTCCATGCAGGAAAATAGAATTTGATTTCAGACTCAATTAACTATTTGTTTGTTCAATTTGGTGTTTCTCAGCCCTGTTTATTTGTATGCAGGGGAAGTTTATACAAGCTGCTGCATCGACCAAATAATCAACTCGATGAAAAGAAGCGACTGCGGATGGCTCTTGATGTGGTATGAGTTGGAGAATGTTGAATGTTGTTGCCTTCTGTTTCTGCTATCTAGTTTGGTTGGTTTAAGTAAGTTTACTAATTGCTTGCAGGCCAAGGGGATGAATTATTTGCACACAAGCCATCCTATTATTGTGCATCGAGATCTTAAGACTCCAAACCTTCTTGTTGATAAAAACTGGGTTGTTAAGGTTTGCTGAAATTAGAACTTGGCATTTGAAATCTCCCATTCCTTCCTTGATTATCCAATTGTTGCTGTATTTAATGTAATCTAGAAAATGCGTAGTTAACAATGCCGTGACTCACCATGGACTTCGTCTCTTTTACTAAGATCTAGACTTTTTCATGCTTAAGGATGTTTTTTTGAAACTTCTCTAATTTATTGTTGTCTCTACAGGTTTGTGATTTTGGCTTATCACGAATGAAGCACAATACTTTCCTGTCTTCAAAATCTACTGCTGGAACGGTAATTGATGTCAGGATAGAATGTTATAGAATGTTATATTATATCAATTATACTGAAGCTGTGCCATTGAACTGCAGGCAGAATGGATGGCCCCTGAGGTTTTGAAGAATGAACCATCCAATGAGAAGTAGGTTTATTTTATGTATTAGACTTGAAAGCCATGCTAGAGAGTTTACTTCTTTTTTTAATGTTTCATTCAAGTCTTGCTGATAAAATAATTGCGGACCGGTTTGCAGGTCCGATGTGTACAGCTTTGGCGTGATATTGTGGGAGTTGGCAACTTTACGTGTGCCATGGACTGGGATGAACTCAATGCAGGTTGTTGGAGCTGTTGGATTTCAAAATAGACACCTGGACATTACAGAGGAGATTGATCCAATGGTTGCAGAGATAATAACAGATTGTTGGCATTGGTAAGTCGTCAGTTTTGTACTTGTCTGTTTTGTTACTGGTACATTCACTACAAGAAATATGGGGTTAGGTGGCGTTTTTTTAACGGCGTTTCTTAAAACGCCATTGTTTCTAATATTTAATGGCGTTTTATAAACGTCTTCTTTTTCTGTAATTGAAACGGCGCCGTTTCAAGAATCAAAAGACGTTTTCAAACGCCTTGGAATGGTTTTTCTCCAGCTTCCTGTTTCACCTTTACTTTGAATCTGATAAAGCAAGTATAAGCGGAAAAGATTATAATTTGCAACAATTATTTATTGCTTTGTTCATGCTTTTGATACAATTTATTGCTTTGTTCTAGATTTTCTTTAAAAAGATTATAATTTGCAACAATTATTTATTGCTTTGTTCATGCTTTTGATACAATTTATTGCTTTGTTCTAGATTTTCTTACACAACTTATCACGTCAAGAATACCCTCACTTCTTTAACCTTAAAACCTAACCCTAGCCATTAGTTGCCACCACCTCCAAACCCTAACCCTCAACACATCACAGATTCACAGCGCCTTTCCTAGCCTCCACCACCGTGACCCAGCCCCCTCCCCCACCCTCATGCCACCTTCCTCCACCCTCGCAGCACCTTGAAACCCTAGACCTAGGAAGAAGACTGTATCCCCACCGCACCTTGAAACCATAGATCTAGGAAGAAGAAGAATGGGAAGGGGTGGCGAAGGAGGGGAGGAGGCTAGGGGGGAGGCAATGAGAGGTGGCGTTGGCGATGGAGGGTGTGGTGGCTAATGGTTTCAGGATTAGGGTTTGGGATAGAGAAGATAAGGGTATTATGGTAGTTATATTTTAGGATAAATGTAATTAAAAAGAAAATGATTAATAGGTCTGTGAACTGCAGGAAAAGTGTGTGGATATGGAAGCTTTGTAAAATTTCATATAATTAAAGACCGTGGCAATAGTCTTTATTCAATTCATCAGTATATTTCATGATGGACTTCTTCAGTGGCCGGAATTTCTTGCTATCCATTTTAATGACTTTTGGTTTTGTCTCTTATGCAGCGATCCACAATCACGCCCCTCTTTTAGACAGCTCATCTCACGTCTCAGGCCCCTCGAGCGCCTTCAGAGTCCAGTTGTTCAGGGAAGCCAGACTCATTCAAATTATTAGACAACAATAAAAGAAGACGACTTGTATTAGTAGCTGAGAGATTGTTCGAGTGCTCGAAGAGCCTGAGCAGTGGAAATTTTTAGTTGGAGGAGCCTTTTCAATTTCAGATGCAAAGAAACATAAAGAAGTGAATGGTGGGTTGGGAAGTGTTGGTTCATTCAAAGGGGAGTGGTCAACACAGCCAATTCGTAATTGGACTGAACATCCCCCAAATAAGTGAGTTGGGGTAAATACCATTTGCTGGGAACTTTTGGTAGTCAAAGTAGATAATCTATCCACCAAAAAAATAAAAAAAATTATTACAAAATCCAAGAGAAATGGTCTGTGTTTATGTGGTATATTGTTATGTGTATGTGTAAGGGAGTCCCATAAAGGAAAAGAGAAATCTATATTGGCCTGTGTATTGACTGTGGAGGTCATTGTGGAAGCATTTGAGCTTTCTTAATTGTGAACATTTGATCTCTGCAGGTTTGTGTTGGGTGAAATAAAACAACAAAGAAAAAATAGAACAAAAATTTACATGTATTCCCTCCAGTTGAAGCTTTCAGGAATATTTATTACATACTTGTGTTATTTATGCAAGTTTTTGCAGGCTTTGTAGGTAATAGAAGTTTGTTTCATGAAGCATTAGTCCTCTCTGAACTTGAAGCTTGCTGAATTACAGTTGGTATGGGGAGTGCATTTACAATCATGGAATTTGTATAACTTTGTTTAGATTTGACTTTTTTGAGGTTGGTGACTTTTTTAGTCACAAAAAAATAAAATAAGTTAAAAAATCAATAAGATAAAATGTCACATTTAAATCATGATTATTTTATTTTTTTCTTATAAAAATTAAAAAAGTCAACCCAAACGAACGTTTTAGGCGGGATTAATTGTTGAAAAGTCAATCTAATCTAACTTTTCGAGCAAAGCCTATAGGTTTTTGTTAGCTCCTAGGAAAACAAAATCTGAGAGACAAATCTAAAAATAGTAGCAAAAACTTGTTTGAGAATAGAAGTGGAATTTGTAGATTTCACTCTTAGGTTGTGTGGTTGTTTTTGGGTAATTGTTTTGTAGAAAATAAAATAGTTTTTTATATTTAAATTCCTTATCCAAACATAAATTAGGTGTGGAATAATTTGTGTTTCTAACTTGTATGGGCAATATATTTGTCTAGAGTTTTTTAGAAGTAAATTCTGACGTTTTGGACGGTTATTTTGAATTTTTAAAAAGTTTTTTTTGTATAAAAATAATAAAATAAAAATGGGCTTAGGAAATAAAAATACCACTAAATTGGCTTTAATTAATCAAATGATAGAAAAGGGTTTAGGAACAAGTGACTCATATCTAACCTTCAAAAATTGTGTCAAATAGCTGCAAATTGTGAAATATGAATTTTGTAAATTAATCAAAGCAAAAACAAAAATATTATAGGAAAACAAAAATTGTACTATCACTAGTTGGTTGGATAGAGAGAGAAATAGAGAGAGAGAGAGAGAGCTTTATAACAGAAAATCAAAATTCACCAGCCATGGCCACCGCACTCCTCCTCCCACCACCACCACCACCAACCCTCTTCTCTCCTTCCATCACCACCTTCCCTCCACCACTCATTTCAATCACAAGTTGGTTGGATAGAGAGAGAGAGAGAGAGAGAGAGAGCTTTATAACAGAAAATCAAAATTCACCAGCCATGGCCACCGCACTCCTCCTCCCACCACCACCACCACCAACCCTCTTCTCTCCTTCCATCACCACCTTCCCTCCACCACTCATTTCAATCACAAACCCTAAAACCCACCACCACCACCACCACAGATCTATTCCCAAAATACCCTTCTCATCATCTTCACCATCACCATCACCATCACCAACACCATCCTTCAGAAATGAAACAGAGTGCCCTGTTCCGCTCGATCAGCAACCCATGAACGAGTACCAGTCCTTGTCCTCCTCCTTCCCCTTCTCCTGGGCCTCCGGCGACTTGGTCGAGTACTGTTCTCGCTTGTTCGTCACCGGCGCTTCCTTTGCTCTCTTCGTCGGCCTCCCTGTGTCCTGGTTCGGCTCCGCTGGTGCTCAATCGGAGCCGCTCAAGCCGGCTTTAGCCGCCGTTTCGAGTGGACTCTTTGTGGTTACTCTCGCTGTTGTTAGGATGTATCTGGGTTGGGCTTATGTGGGCAATCGATTGCTCAGTGCCACTGTTGAATGTGCTCTCTCTCTCTCTCTCTCTCTGAGTTGGTTTTTGTTTGATTATTGTGTTTTTGAGTTTTGGGTTTTTGATTGATTGGGTGAATTATCTCTGTGTTTCTGTTCTTGCAGATGAAGAGACTGGGTGGTATGATGGTCAGGTAATTCCAACTTTCAGGAAGCTTCAATGGATTCACATCGGTTTTTTTTAATTTTTTATGTCTCATACTTTGTTGATTGTTATAGTTGTCTTGCTTATTTTGGTTGATTTTTGGCTAGTAAGGTTGTGTTTGGATTCCAAATTTAACGAGGGAAAGGTAAATAGAATTATTAATATTAGGAATTATGAAATGCATCATGAAGATTTCTCATCCTTTGATTAGAGTGTGGTGTTTTATTGCATGTGTAATCCAAAAGTAAAAAATCTTTTATGATCATTTTCATCATATTTTTTTCATAATCTCTAACATTAGTCAAATAGAATTATTTTTCATGTCTATTCCCAAATTTCCCTATTCCCTATACCTATGCATCTCCAACCATTGGATCATATCGCGACAGTTAATTTGTTACTTCAGGAGAATCAATGGTTGGGCAACTAAATGATCTAATGGTTGGAGATTCATTGGAGCAGTGGAATAGAAGATCCTTGGTTGAATTACTTATACATACCCATTTTTTATAACTAAACAAAAGTTAAATTTTTTGACAAACATATATTCATTTTCTTTCCATTTTTCTAAAAAAAATTATTGTGGTTCATTTTTTTCTTGCCTTTTTCCTTTTCTTTTCTTTTACCCAAGCCAAGATCCAAACACAATCTAAAGAATGGACTACATTCAGTTAGTGTGATTGTCATTCCAAATATATACATATATATATATATATATATGTATATATTTTTTTATCAGAATCATTCCAAATATATTTGAAGTGTGTATTTTCCAAATTGTAGGAGGCCATTTGTTAGGCAGTTTGTTGTATAGGCAAATTTTTATGGATATGATGCTAGTGTGAAGCATTCTGCATCACTATTTACACAGTCCATTATTAATATGGTTTATTGTTAGTGACAAATGACAATTTTGAGGATTTGGTAGCTAGTGTTAGGAAATTGATACCTTCGGGGCCGAATTTGAGAGGAAAAAATTTCTTTCATTTCGGTCTCTGAACCAAGATTTTCCCAGGTTGCCAGAGAGTATTGATCTAGGATGAGCACTTTCATTTGTTTTCCATTTGTTCAGCGTTTAATAGAGATTTTTTTATGATTTGGCAGGCTACATTTGCAACTGAGTAAATTTTTGTTATTAAACTGTAGTACATGAGGAAAACAACGTACAAACATCGAAATAGTTCTGTATAATTTGGTTACTATATTATATGACATTTGAAATTTTATCATGGTGAATGCTTACAGATATCTAAGAGTATCTCCAACAGTATATCAAAATATTCATCAAATTTGAGTAAAAGCTTTCTTTGATATCAAGTGCTTCAACGGAGTGTTTTGGAGTTTCATCAGACCACCAGTCGACTGGGCGGACGACCGGCCGGTCGACTGGCCAGCGTATATTTTTCTGTGTTTTTTGCCTTGAGGTGGTCATCCGGGGGGTCAACTAGACAATGTAATATTTTCACAAATTCTTGCCTTTAGGTGGTCATCCGAGAGTACATCTAGGGGGACGTCCAGCAACTGCAATGAACAGTGATTTGATGAAAGAAAAGTTCGTCCTCAATTTGATAAAAGAAAAGTAAAATCCTGAATTTGATACCTATTTGATGAAACCGTTGGAGTAGGAATCTTTTTTCATAAAATTCAAATTTGATGATCAATCTAAAGTAATCTTTTTTCATAAAATTCAAATTTGATGATCAATCTAAAGTAATCATTGGAGATGCCTAACATGCAATCTTTTATGCATGTTTATTTTGTCATCTGCTTGCTTTAGTATTCATTAATGTCTACTCCTTGAGAACCATATGGAGTGTCAAATCTAATTTTGAGTTGTGTCATACCATGTACTTGCCAAAAAAGAAAAGTTGTGTCAATACTCTCATACCATGTAAAACTACTAGTCATGCATTTATAATAGCTGCTAATGGAGATAGACAATATTGGAATCTAAGCTGGATTTCCTCAACAGATATGGGTGAAGACTGCTGAAGTTTTGGCACGTGACCGGCTTCTAGGTTCATTTTCTGTAAGTTTCTGTGTATTTCTTGAACCAATGATTCATTGCTTGGCATGTTAGCTTTTTGGCTAAAGTAGCCGAAACACCCCAATCGCATCACTTTCTCTTATTTTTTGAACGCGTTTTCGTAAAAAGTTTAAAAGCGAACTAAAATAGTCAATTCACAAATGTGCAACATGCAACATATGAGAGAAGGATGAACTGTGTCAGTCATTTGAGTATTCTTCTTCTTTTTCTGAAAGAAGGAAAACGAGGAATATGATGATTTCCGAATTGACCTGTTTTGACTAACTTGAAATTGCCTGAGAAATATGACTTCCTGTTGATTAACATGGGAATTAAAAGCATCAATATTCTCTATTAAAGCTGAATCACTCAATTTGAATTTGTACTCCTTGGTTTCTTTGAAGGAAGTGCGAGTCCACTGAACAAACTCACGAGGGCGTTCAATTACATATATCTATGCAGCAGAACTGCATTAGGGCACCTTCTGTACTAGTCCTCCAATTTCTTGAATATTTTAGATGATAATCTATTTGTTCTTAACTCAAAAAAACTGGGATACTCTTCAAGATCATGATACAATAATTACTTCAAATTCAATTTGTTGAACGAGCGGTGCAATTTTATTCTTCAGTGAAACTGCCTTGGCAAAATTTTATTTCAACACCTCAAGTTCATCTTCCGTTTATCTGACAGGTCAAGCCGGTGCTGAGCAGGTTAAAGAACACACTTGTAGGTTTAGCAGCATCATTGTTTGTATGTGCCGTGCTCTTAATCAACCTCGAGGGCAGCCAAAAGGATTCCTACCTATCATCCAGAGAAGCGAGAGGCAGAGCTGTACCTGGGGTTTACAATGATGAATCTGCAAGATCATTTGAACCTAATGCGTTTTGTGGCCAATCTGATCTTGAATAAATCTCAATCATCAAACATCTGTATTATATATAATGAAATCACTGCTTTTTGTACAGATTTTGTATCGCCAAGAAGGAGCATTGTACTCAGTAAAAACAATATTTTTTTTTTTTTCCCCAGTTCTTGACCCCAATTTCTTGATATATAATGTAAATATATATATATATATATATATATATATATTATAAGTTTTAGCAAAATATAGCAATTGGAGTGTTATACAGGAAGGGGGAAAAAACTCTTTATATAGCCTGGTTTAAAATCCTTGTTAAATGACGTCAAGTTGCTTGCTAAGCAACAGTTTGAGAGAAAAAATGATTTTATCATTTTTTATATTAAAATATATGTTTATCTTTATTTATTTTAGTATATATCTATCATTAGCATTAGTTTTGATAGATTTAATCATACTAAAAAAAAAGTTAGTGTAATTATATCAAAAATGTGAATTAATTGTATTTTATCCAAACCTTAAGGGAGACGAGTGTAATTTATCCTAAATTTTTTCTTTAAGAGTTAGTAAAGGACTAACTACTGATAAAAAATAGGAGAAATTAATCTAAGGCCTCTATCCCATTTTTAGTAATGAAGGAGATTCATAATATTATTTTTTGATGTCTAAGGTCTCTAAACCTACACCAATATATCAGATCAGAGAAATTTCACTCTCTCTTTCTCTCTCTCTGATGTTCATTTTATCCGAACCAAACCCTCTCTCTTTGTGTACACCCCGATCTTCACCTTCACCTCTGTCTCTACCATGCCGTTGCCGGAATGCTGCAATCTAAGTTGAACCACTACGATTTGAGCTGCGAAGGTTTGTAAATATTGCACTTTTTACTACTCCACCAGTGAGTCAGTTCGAGATGACTCCAAACTCCAGTTGTGGTGGACAAAGCTCCGAAATGAAGGCCATGATGACAAGAAAGACGGGCCATCGTGGCCAAAGATCCAGACACGATATGACGTCATCAAAACATGCACCATTGTTATATGGGTGGCTTCCATGCAATAGTTTTGTAAGCTTCCCTGATTACATTAAGGACAATTATAATCTTTGGAGTTTTAGAAAGAAAAATGATCAAGTGCCTTCAATTAAATTCCATATGTCTTCAATGTAATAAATATTCTATGAATGAGTTACACACAATTCACATCTTTCCAAATTGTGAATGTTGCTTTCAATTCATGGATTTCTTACTCTCAAAATAATTTTGTTATATTCTTTTCCAAAGTTGAACAAATAATCATATTTCATCAAAGAAAATACTTTGCTTTTGATTTTGCACAAGCTTGGTTTGAAAATATGCAAAATATGCACAGAGTTAGGAACATGGATTTAGCAAAGAAGGTGTTTGATGAAATGCCAAGGAGAAAATGTCTAAGGGCCCTCAGATCAATTCAGAGAAATTTTAATCCAAACCAAAGAATTTCTCTTGATCAAACCAAAGAAAATTCAGTCCAAACTAAAGAATTTCTTTGGACCAACCCAGAAAAAATTCAATCCAAACCAGAGAATTTCTCTGGACCAACCCAATTTTCTCTAAAACAGAGCACTAGTCCTCATTGTTATTTAAAGAAATTTGAAATTTTCTCTGTAATGTGTCCAGGGAAATTTGGAATTTTCTCTATGATATGTCTAAAGAAATTTAGAATTTTCTCTGTGATTTGTTCAGAGAAATTCTCTGAATCGATATTAAGGGACATTAGACATTATAAAAATATTGAGTGTCATTTATGCTAGGGACCTTAAAAAAATCCCCTTAAAAATATGCATACAAAAAAATTTAATATTAAAAAAATTAGCCATTTTTAAAATATTTTTTAACTTTTTAAATAATTTTTTAGAATGGTTAAATTAAGGGTTTGTTTGGGATGACCTAAATAAGTATACTTTTTGTCTTTTTATGAAAAGATGTGCAGAAAAGTAGAGAGGTGATGTGATGGAAAAAAAATAAAAAAATAAAAAGATGAATTATTTTGTGTATGTCAAACTTGGCCTAAATTTTTTGATACAAAATAAGAGTACCAACGAAGATAAGATTGGATTAGGGATGGTTACTGTGTGTGGTGTACAACAATCACTGTTATGCAGTTAAATGGGAACATTTCGAAACCACCGTTCATATTTTAGAAAATATCGAATAGAACATATGTATAAAAAATCAAGTTAATCGGATATCGTTTACCTTTTTATCTATTTACATTTGTATCTATAAAAATAAATAATAATTGTGATTTAAAATATTAAAATTAATACAAATATAAACAGATGAAAAGGTAAATGATATTCGATTAATTTAATTTTTTATATATCACTACAAAAAATTTGATTTTTTGCTACGGTAAAACGCTGTCGCAAATACCTCAAATGCCGTCTCAAAAGGTTTTTTGCGACGGTAGGTGGCTTTTTGCGACGGCAAGTGGGGAGTCGCAACAAAGGGGGTTGCAAAAGAGTTTTTGCGACGACATAGTGCCGTTGCTAATGTTTTGCGACGGCATTTTTACCTTTAGCGACGGCAAAATGCCGTCGCTAAAAATGTTTGGAATTTCTTGACTTTTTGCGACGGCACTATTTTACCGTCGCTAAAAATGTTATTTGAGACAGCAAATAATACCGTCGCTAATAGTCTTTTTTTTGCAACCACAAGAACACTGTTTTTGCGACAGTGTGGTGCCGTCGCAAAAAATAAATATTAAAAATATGAAAAATTCCATTTGTTGCGACAGTATACTACCGTCGCAAAAATTATTAAAAAAATAATAAAATTTCTATTTTTTGCGACAGTTTAGTGTCGTCGCAAAAAATAAAACCTGTAACAAAATCAATAAAAATATTAAAATTTTTTATTTTTTGCGACAGTGTAGTGCCGTCACAAAAAAGAAAAAAACATCCTACGATAAAATTATTAAAAATATTAAAATTTCTCCATAATAATTACATAATAATATAAAAATTTCTGTATCAAAATAACAATTTCTCCATAATAAAATATTCTTCCATTCATAATTACACATCAACAAAATTATCCCACTACATAATGTTCCATAATACATATATAATGTTTAAATACATGATTTTGTTCATAATTCAAAATAACATAAACCAAAATTAAATGTTTTTCTCGTCATTCTTCGTAAATAACAAAAACAAAAATTAGCCACATTCTTCACAGGCATGCATTCCACGAGCACACTCCTACATGAGAAATATCTGAAAAATAAAAATAAAAATAATTAATGACAATATAATTATGTGTTAATGTTAATTACAAAAAAACATAAAAATTTAACTACTATAGCATCAAATACAACATTTTTTTTGTTAGTCATCAAATCCTACATGGATAATTAAACATCTCAATCAAATACAAAAATAAAATTTAACTACTATAACATCAAATACAAAAAAACATAAAAATTATATCTGAAATCTGGCTCTAACTCCCAAAGTGCTGCCATTGTCGGTTCGCCAAAGCTAATAGAAGGTGTTTTTGAGTTAGCCGGTTTAAACCATCTTATCCTGGGAGATAGAAGTGGACGTTCCTCCAGCACCCATGGTGAGGCGGCTAATTTATTTTAAAGACATTGTGGTGTCATACGGAATTTGGTTTGATTTCTAATAAATCTAATTTATAATTATTATTTTTTTTTATAAAAGTTAAAAAAATTAAAAATTTTATCATAAACAAAACTTTTTAACCCCAAATAAAAATAGTTAAAAAACCAACTTGCATTCCAAACGAACCCATAATATAAATTTATTCACCCCTTTTGTGCAAATCTTTCTTATGTGTTAAGGTTGTATCCAATTTTTATTTTTTTTACAATTTGTCTCGATAATAATTATTCCTTCGGTCTCAAAATAATAGTGTTTTTTGGAAAATCTAATTTTTTTTGATAATATAATTATTGTACTTTAAAAAAATTAATTTTTCAAAATTATCCTTTGATAGTATATTTTTTAAAAATATTATCATAATTGTACTTTTTGTATTGTTAATGAATTTAAAAGAATGGCAAAATAAAAAATTCATATTATTTTAGTCTTTGATTTATGAAAAGTGACTAATATTTTTAGACAATAAAAAATGTAATAAGAGACTAATATTTTAAGACGGAAAAAGTAAGGTAAAACTCACTTGGCTATCGCTTTGGAGAAGTACTGTTGGGCCTTGTGGGCTCACTTTTGGACCACATTTTGATAGTTCCAACCGTTCACATTTTAAAATTCATTGAGTATGTCATCACTGAAAAAAATTAAGTACATCAGATAACGAAAACCATGTGTTTGGATCAGTTTTGTATGAAACAAAAATAGACAGTGAAAAAATAAACGGTTCATATAAAATTGATTCAAACATGTAGTTTTTGTTATCTGATTAATTTGATTTTTTACAAAAACAATGTACTCGACGAATTCTAAAATATGAATAATTCGAATCATCGAAATGGGACTCAAAAGTAGGTCCATTGGGCCAGACTGGACTATCCAGTCCAGTTATGAACTGAAGACTGTCCAATCCCATTTTATTGTGACTGTCTTATACTTGGCTATTTTTTTGCTCCCACTCTTAAAATTAATTTACGTTTAAAATTAGAGAAAAGTTTCATATCAATTGCTACATGACACAAGCGATATACTAAGCCTGTGTTTGGCAAGTGAGTTTGCAGGTTTTTTTGGCTATTTTAGTCACAAAAAATAAAATAGGCTATTTTAGCCATCCATGACAAACAAAACATCACATCCAATCCATAATCATTACATTCTTCTCTCATAAAAAAACTCAAAAAAGCCAAAAAGTCATTCCCAAACCAAGCTTTTAAGCCCAGGCTAAAATAGCCAAAAAAGCCAAAAAGCTAACCCACTTCCCAAACGGAGGCTAAGGGTGGGTGCGGGTTGGTTGCAGCCACAGAATCTCCAATTCGCCAGATTGGCAGATTGGAGAAAATCAATCCGCATCTGTCCGCCAATCTAGCGGATGTGGATTGAGCGGATTGGCGGATTGATGCAAATCGGCTTGGCGGTTTAAAATTTTATAAATTTTCAACATAATTCAACTTCTACACTTCCTAAAAAAAAAGTATTACAATGACTGCATGTATGCCTCTGTATTGTTATATATATATATATATATATATATCTGTTTTTAAAAATAAAAACCAACCAACATATATATTTTTTATTTATTATTTTTAGAGTTAGATTTAAAAATCAAAAAATATAAATAAATAAATAATACATTTATTTTTTCAATTCAAAAAGTATATTCAAGTTGAAAACTTTTTTTCAACAAAATATTTAAACTTTTTTTCAATTGAAAACACAAATAAAATATCTAAACAAATTGAAAACATAAAGTTTTACCAATTAATAGGGATGCTCGCGGTTTGACGGTTCAGCGGTTCGGTTGCGGCTAAAGAAATCTCAAATCCACCATCAATCCAAAACTAGGCGGGTTGAAAAAAATCAATCCGCAACCGTCCGCTCGTCATTACGCATTTGTCCAGAATGCAGCAGATCGGTTCGGTTCAGTCCGGTTCAGTCGATTTAGGCGAATCGGTATATCCGCTATTCACCCCTACGATATACTATTATATTGAGGGGAAACACTACGCAAGTTATGTTATTTGCAAGTTTAACTATCACAAACAACATAATTTAATACTATGAGAGTCGCAACTTAAAAAAAAAAGTTATAACTTATAATTAAACAATTGTTGGATCATAATCAAAATTTTATCATAATCGTCACAATATGTCATAATCACTGATTCAAATATCGTAACAAAATGTGTGTATGATACACACTCATAAAATTTCCTACATTGAGATTTCAATTTGTGTCAGAGATATATATAATAAAATATTTTTATAATGTATGGTTGTTAATATATTATTTTTTATTTAATTTTAGTTATAAATTAATTTTTTAAGTAAATTAAAAAAAATTAAAAATAAAAAAGCTAAGGTGGTGAATTTTTTTTTATGAACCAAATAAAAAAATAGTCATATTACATCCCACAAAAATATCCTTTCATAAAATTTGAGTGATAAAAATCTCCTATTCTGTCAGGCCAAACTCTTCCTTATCAAAATCTATGAATGATATTTTTAGCCTCCGTTAGGGAAGTGGGTTGGCTTTTTGGCTTTTTGGTTTTTTGGCTATTTTAGCCTGGGCTATTTTAGCCTGGTTTGGGAAGGGCTTTTTGACTTTTTGGCTTTTTTGACTTTTTTTGTGAGAGAGAATTGTAATAATTATGGGTTGAATTTGATGTTTTGTTTTTTGTGACTAAAATAGCTTATTTTATTTTTTGTGGCTATTTTAGCCCCAAACCAAGTTCCCAAACAAAGGCTTAGGAAGGTGGATCATTTTTCATTAAAAAAATATAAAACCAAAGAAAGCGTAATTTATATTAAAAATAGTGGGGTCCACCATGGATGGAGAAACTTGGGAACTTTGGGAGGGAGGTTCATGCACCTTCCCATATTTCTGTCTCTCTCCTCTCCATTCCAAAAGAAGCAATCAAAGTAGGAAAATAAAAAGAAGGAAAAATCTCTCACTTGAAGCAAGAAAAAATAAATTATTCTTTGGAAAAATGTGGTGTTGTTGTTATTGTCCCAATAAATCAGACCATTTTGCCGTTTTGGATTCGATTTCTTCTTCACACCACCATGTGCGAAGCTTCTTCTTTGAGATCTCTGGCACCGACCCATTTAATCTTCTTCACAATCGTCGATTCTCTCAGGTCTGTATCGCACAATCATCACTTAATGTCTTTTTGTATTTCATGTAAAATGCATTGCATCTTGTTCAGATTGTTATTGGGTCTGTTTGGTTTCCTGGAAAGTTGAGGGGAAATGAAACTGGAAGTGAAATTTTTAGTTTTTAAGCCTTGCATGTTTCTGGGTTTGTGGTAATTGTAGGATCCTTAGGTGGGTATTTTTTTTAAAAAAATTCTTTTCATTTTTATTAAAGTGGGAGTTTTGGGATTTCTATTAGTTGTGTTTTTCCTTCGATTTCTCAGAAACCAAACAAGTTCACTTTCGTGTCTGATCTTTTTTACTGAGTAAATCTTACATTGAAGATTACAGTTTTGTGTTGTTTTTCGAAAACATACATATGAAAGGCTTTGGTTGTTGTCCCAATTTTGTGAATAAATGCACGGTCAATATTGATCATTAGCTCAGCAATAGAATAAGACCTTTGTTTGGATTGATGGTTTAGGAGGGAAAGTGAAGGATTTTGATTGTCCAGATTGGATATAAAGGTTTGAAGAGGATATGTAATAGCTAAGGATAATATGTTATAGGGTACGAGATGGATTATATATATATTGGCCACACTTAGATTTTGTTTGTTTAAGATAGTACATATGATGGGATAAGGGAAGAGTCATTATTTTTGACCTTTGGATGAAAGATGAGCCATATCCAACCGTAGGGGATATTCAATACCATGGAGGTATTACATATTCCGTTTGTATCATATACTTTCTGGACTTTCTATATCCAGACCAACCAAACATGGGATATAGGGAGAGAAAAACATATGGGATTCACATCATATTATATCTGGCTCCACCCTCATATCCGGCCCTTATTTATGGTAAACAAACTGGGTTTCTTCAAAAAGCCAAGTTGAGTTTAGTGAATAAGCAAGGCAAAATGTGGAAATTAAATCTTATTTCAATTCATTCCCTTCTTTACAGTGAGGGTATTCACTATCCTATTTCTGCTAAATGTTATGAGAAGTTGCTAATGGCATAATAATGGTTTTATTTTTGGGTTTTGTTGTCATCTATAAAAGCCCTTGATTACAAAATGGTAGACAAGTTGGTAATGAGAATATTCAAAGACCATTAAACAATAAAAAACTGGGCAAAAATCTAGCATAGATTATGTAGATATTTTTCTTTTCCGGTAGATATTTTTTAGTCACCAACTCTCCGAAAAGTTTAAGCTGTTACAATGTGTACAACCTATCCAATACCCTTTCTTACGTGCAACCTCATCTTGCACGTGGAGAGCCAAAAAGAGAAGTAGAAACCAAATTGGGAGAATGTTGTTGAGGGGACTATAATGACTCCTACCTGTGAGCATTTCTCCAATTCATTCTAGTTAACATGACTTCTTAACAATGAATTACTTTATTTGTGCATGAGTATATATATATATTAATTATATGCATACAGAGATGTAAACTTACAAACTAGCAAACATGGCTGTTGTGGATATGGACTGGGATTTACTGTTATTCCTTGCACTCATTACAATTTACTGTATATCTGTCCTTGGACCCGAATTTTGATTTGTGGTCTTAACACCATCCACACTCGTGTTATTTGTTTTGTAATTGTCTTTTTTTCTAAAAGCCCTAAACAATAATGTGTTTGCAAAGAAACTCTACCACTTAGGCTAACAGGTGATATGAATTCTTGCCTTGATCATTTTGTTAGAAGTAAAGTCGGCATTTTGGAAATGGAGGGCATATTTTGACAGGAACATGTTTGGCAACGCAAGATTGTATGAAGCAATATGTCTCCTGGAAGACTTTCTATAATGGAGCTAAAACCAATTTATGATATTGAAAATGCAAATTCTGAGCTGTGGCCACTGGGTGAAATTGATCCGAAGAAAGCAAAGTTTCCTTGTTGTTTAGTTTGGACTCCCCTCCCAGTTGTCTCGTGGTTGGCTCCATTCATTGGACATGTTGGCATTTGCAGGGAGGATGGTGCTGTTTTAGATTTCTCGGGATCCAATTTTGTGAATGTTGATGAATTTGCATATGGTGCGGTTGCCAGATACCTTCAACTTGACAGAGAGAAGGTACATCTCCATGGCTTAAGTTTGCTCTCTCCCCCCCCCCCCCCCCCCCCCAAAATCTCTCTCTCTCTCTCTCTCATATACATTGATAATTAGTGCATTGATTATTTTATACTGTAATTTAATTTGAAATGTCCAAACAGTGTTGCTTTCCTCCGAACCTCGTGGGACACACCTGCAAACATCGCTACAAGCATGCGGAGTATGGAACTGCAATCACTTGGGACGATGCCCTCCAATCAAGTATGCGCCACTTTGAGCACAAAACCTATAACCTCTTCACCTGCAACTGCCACTCATTTGTTGCTAATTGTCTAAACCGACTCTGTTGTGGCGGAACAATGGGTTGGAACATGATGAATGTAGCGGCTCTTGTACTGTTCAAGGGGCATTGGGTTGACACCGTGTCAATCTTAAGATCATTTTTGCCTTTTACATTAGTGCTGTGCTTGGGTATTTTCGTGGTTGGGTGGCCATTCTTGATTGGACTGCTATCTTTCTCTCTCCTCCTCCTCGGATGGTTTCTATTGGGTACGTACTGTATCAAAAATCTGTTAGATTGCTAGATGCTTGTGCAATTAATGCTGATATGTGTTTGATGAGGAATGGTTGCTATGGTTTTGTTTGTGTACCCAAAAACAGTTGTGCTGATCTGATCAATAACATTGCCATAGGTCTGTGTAGGTTTAGAAAAGAAAATTGTAACGGTTGTATTAATGTTTTGATATGGGTTTTGTTGAAGCAAAATGATTATAGATTTTTGTTTTCATAGTGATAGTTCAGACCTTGTTTCCGCGTCTCGTTCTCATGCTGTAAATACAAGGATCTGAAATAATTCTGGGTAATTATACTGCCTTAGCTTGAGGTTTATTATAATATAACATAAACATTTCTCGAGATTTTTAAAATCACACCAACCTCCTTACTCGGTTGTTGACACTTAACAAATGTCTCCCTTCTGTACAAATACCAATAGAGAACATAACAAAAATGTCTGGGTTCACCAGTTTAGTATTTTTTGAATGTCATTTTTGCCCTCCCATCTTTACATAAGATCAATACTTCAAAAAAAAAAATTAAAAAAATTAAAAAAAAAAAAGAAGATAAAATGAGATTTAGAATCAAGTGATGCTGCCATTTGGGACTTGCTTGGACAGGAAGTACCTTCACCATTCCTGACATGGTTGGAAGTGTTGGAAAAAATGGTTTTTTTTTTATGACTTTAATGTGAAATTAAAGTAGGTCTCAACTCAACCATTGGTTGAGATGGGATTAAAAGGGTTTAGATTCTTTGTAACAAAATCTTTACACCACAAAAAGAATGATTAAAAACCATTAAGAATTGAATGAGAAATTGTCTCATAAAGTTGGTCTTATAAATGAGATATTGAGAATTGTGTATAACTACCAATCCCACATTAATTGTAGAATAAAGTTTTGATGGGTATTTAAACTTCAAAATTATGAGAAGGGCATGAGCCCTTTGAGGCATTCAAATTTTCCGAAGGAAGGGAGGCATGAATGCTTCAAGAATGTGCTTGGGCCAAGACTATAATCCAAGTTGGTTATGGCAAAATTGCCACATGCGCGCGTCACCCGGACTGGGCTGGGTCCGTGGATCTTGGATTTGGGGACTTGGGCTTGAGAGAATGGGCTGGGTCGGATTGGTGATCCACCAACCTATTTTTTTTAGGTCAAGTCTGTTGCAGGCCCAAATCTATTGCAGAAATGTATATACACATATGTGTATATTGTGTATAACTCACACTTTGAATTCCCATCAATTTTGTGCATTACTCCAGCAGTTTTGCAGGAGTAATGGCCTACATTAGTGGCCAGACTTGATGGCTGGAGGCTTTTCCTTTCTCCTCCATTATGTATAAGAGGAGACCTATCTTCCTTGGTTTGGTATAGAATTTTTTACCTTCCAATCATATAGTCAGTTTGCTTACTATTACAATATTCTTCCTGTATGAGAGAGAGTGCTGCCTTGTCAGTTCGCCAAGCTAACAGAATGTGCTTCTGCGTTAACCGGTCTAAACCATCTTATGTTGGGAGACAGAAGTTGACGTTCCTCCAACACCCACGGTGAGGCGGTTAATCTGTTTTAAGGACACTGTGATATCACACAGAATTTGATTTGATTTCTTATTTTCAATATTTCAATTTAATATGTATTTCTGTTAATCTTGTTTCATGTTTCATACTCCAGAATGGAAATTTATCAAATACAATTTTATTTGATGTTCTATTATTTAATTTAATAAATATTGATCTTGTTTAATTACACAATTTGTACAACAATCTTAAAACAGATTATTTATTTATATTTCCCATGAAATTGTACAAATAGAATTCATGATTAGGATGTATAGTTTACATGTTGTTTGCTACAGGTTGTGGAAAATCAAAATTGTTCAAAATGTATATCGACTTCAATTGCATGATAACGACTACAGTATATATTGTTTCTTGTACACAAGTTTCCTGGCTAGACATGCAACTTCATATATCTAATAGTGCACTATTTTCCACATGGAATTCATTAGTCCTTTAATATATATATATATATATATATATATGTACTAGCCTATTACTCGTACTATGCACAGGATAATTATAGATATTTATATTTGTTTTAATTTTTTTAATATATAAATCATATTTTTTAAAAAAATTTATAAAAATAATTTAACAATCTTAACACTAACCATAGTGTACAGGAGAAATTAAAAAGGCTACTGCAGTAACTATGCACGGACTATATCTATAATTATTTGTATGAGGGGATTTTAAATGCTAATAAGAGATTTTGACCATATTAATAAATGTTAGTATGTGAATTGGAAAAAGTTAATAAATGCTGATCGGGAGATTTTGACCAAATCAATAAATGCTGAGGTTTTTTTTTTAAATCAAAAATTTAAAAAATTAAAATTGAAAGTGTGAGGACATAATTTTTGAATGACAACACGTGACCGAGGTGTCATTGAAGTGCCAGCCGAAATGTCACCGAAGTGCCAGCCGAGGTGCCACGTGTTCTGGTTATGATGCCGAGGTAATCTCGACTAGGCCGAGGTTATCTGCGAGAATACCGGAATCCTAGATAAGCGGATAAGGGACAAGAGTCTTAGAATGGGAGAAGACTTCAGTTTGGGTAAAGATGAGACTCTTAGAGAGTTTATCTTAATTCTACTGGGAGTCCAAGATTAGCAGTAATTCTGAGTCCATTAGAGCTAGGTTTCTATTGGGACTAGGATTGTGTTGGCTATAAAAGGGAGGCACCCACATGGGTCTAAGGTATGCTTTTGATATTCTGTCTAGTGAGTTAAGCACTGTTGGTTATCTTTGAGATATATTGAGTACTGACTTGATCGTCGGAGTGCCCCCGGGTGGACGAGCCACCGTCGGAAACTCTTTTTTCTGTTGCAGGTCGTTCGGGCTTAATCTATTCTGTCGATGCTCTCCAGCTGGGTACCTGTTTGGCAGTGTGGTCGGAAAATCACCCACACAATTTGGCGTCGTCTGTGGGAAAGAAAGGAGAATAGATGGCCAACGACGGGCAGAAAGAGAAGTTTGGGACAACACACCTACTAAGAATGGGAAACATATTGACTCTGACGTCGAAGAAGTCAACTGCAACGAAAAGACTCGTGATAAGAATCACGAAGGAAAGGACGTCGGCCAGGAGAGCGATGAACCCAAGAAAACGGACCGAAGTGGGTATTACAACGAGAACGACCTCCAGGTATGGAAGGATAGATGCCTGCGGAGAGACGACGAGATTAGGGGTGAGCATGGTTCGGATTGGACCAGATTGGAGTAAAACCAGAACCAATCCGTTATCTATAGATCTTGAAAAATTGGAACCAATCCAATCTGTTTAAATCGTGGAACCAATCCGAACCAATCCATTTAAATACGGATTAGATCGGTTTAGGACCACGGATTTATATAATTAAATAACAAAAATATATATATAACACTTTATTTTCATAAAAATATAAATATAGCACCATATTAGTTTCACAATAGCAATATGTCTTTTCATAATAGCGACAAACTGTTCTAGAATTTAAACAACCATAAAGAAACTAGTTCCACCATAAGTATTTAGACCATTACAAATTAACACTAAAAACTAGCAAATAAAAGTAATAAAAGAAGATACTATACAAGTTTAGGTTTGGATTTAAGTTTATATGAAATAAGAGAAGATACTATGCAGGAGGGTATATAATAAAAATATAGACTATTTGTATACGGTCCGGATCGGTTCCAATCCGGAACCAATCCGTGAACTACAAATTTTTAATTTTTCAATCCGGAACCGAACCACGGATTCAAAAAATCAATCCAAACCTACTGGATTGGACTGGATTGGATCGGATTACGGATTTCACAGATTCCTTGCTCAGCCTTAGACGAGATAAAGGGAATGGCGGACAAATTGGCAGACCTGTAACCGGTCGTCAATTTCCTGATGCAAAACAACGTCGTGCAGCCACTATTCTCACTACAAGATATGCCAATTCTAGCGGCCAAGAAAGACGCCCAGAAAAGGAGACAGAAAACGATTCCTGCAGTCCCTCAGCATGGCGAGACCAAGAGACATTCTCACCGGTCTTCGCGGGAGGTCGGCCATGGAGAATCCCAGAAGACACAATCTCGGCCAAGATGATTAGGTCCGAGAAAAGAAGAGCTCAGTCTAAAAGTGAGCAGATCCCAGATTCCAGAAGGCAAGATCTCGGCCTAGATGATTAAGTCCGAGAAAAGAAGAGCTCAGTCTAAAGTGAGCAGATCCCAGATTCCAAAAGGCAAGATCTCGGCCCAAACGATTAAATCCAAGAAAAGAAAAGCACAGCATGAGTTAAAGACTTTTTTCCATAAGGAGTAGGTAGAAGCCATGTAGAGGGCTGGAGAATGATGCTTGGGAGTTGGAATTTTCAAGCCGAGATTATGTTTAACACTTGTTGAAACTTGAGAAAAGTTTACAAGTTGAAGTTAAACCGAGATGATGTTTAAACACTTGTTGAAACTTGAGAAAAATTTACAAGTTGAAGTTAAACCGAGATGATGTTTAATACCTGTTGAAACTTAAAAAGTTTACAAGTTGAAGTTAAACCGAGATTATGTTTAACGCTTGTTGAAACTTGAGAAAAGTTTACAAGTTGAAGTTAAACCGAGATCACGTTCAACACTTGTTGAAATTTTGAGAAAATTTACAAATTGAAGTTAAAACCGAGGTCATGTTATAAGAAGACTAGTTTAAACACTTGTTGAAATTTTGAAAAAATTTACAAGTTGAGATTAAGCCAGGATTATGAGTGAAAAAAGTATCTATGCACGATTACCATGTGGCCAAGACTTGGAAGATAATGGAAGATAGAAGTCTTAAGAAATAAAAAAGTGGCGAGTTTCTAGCAAACACTTGAGAAAACATTTATTACAATGTTTTCAAGTGTTAAGCCAAGGCCGAGATAAACAAGACTAGAAGTTGTGTCCGAGGTATTTTACCCCGAAGAGATTACACAGTGAAGGTGTACCTTGAAGACGTGCAAATTATTTTAAGTATAGAATACATTCAGAAAAGGAAAGAAGGCACTTCGGCCTAAACATTGAAGAATGATTGTACAGATTACAAAAGTGGCACGTCGGCCAAATTAAAGCTTACACTGTTTCAAAAGTAAGAAAAGAGTACTAAGTACAAAGAAAAAAAAATCATAAACGAAACTACTCGGCGTTGGCAACGGACTATGTGTCACGACCCAAACCCGCCCTTATGGGTTTAGC